AACCTTTGCTACAACTTACAAAAGGCAGAATGGAGGCGCGTGGAGGCTTAGAGGTTATGGATCTTGCACCAAAATGCACAGATCTATCTGCAAATACCGGAATGTAAATCAAAGGAAACAAAAAAAAGAAAAAAGAAAAAAAAAAGAAAGCACTAGATCTGCGCAGGGGCCAACTCACCGGCTTAGAGGTGATCACAAAGCAGGGGGATCGATGGCAACAAGCCAGAATCCGGCGAGACCGGCAAGAACAGGGCCGGAGAAAATGAACCAGATCTGCCGCAGAGGAAGAGGAAGAAATGGGGGAAAGAAGGGGGGACGTGGGGGTTAATGACGAGTATATTCGACAGCATTACTGTCGAATATACAGCAAACGACGACATTTCCCATACATTCGATAGCAATGTTGTCGAATATATAAGAAACATAATCGACAGCCAACAGGCTGTCAATTATATATATTCGACAGCCAATTGGCTGTCGAATAAAACTATATATTCGACATTTATTCTGTCGAATAAGTTTTCTGTCGAATATGTGGCAAAAAATCGATTATCATCGACAATCAACCTTATTCGACACCATTCCTGTCGAATATGTCCTTTTATTCAACAGCTACTTGGCTGTCGAATATGTATTTGTCGTTTTTGCCCAGTTTTCCAATAGTGTCTTTACTTATTATTAAAATTTTTTATATTACTTTATATATTTAATAATATTAAAAACTAATCAAATTTGACCAAATGACATCCATCCAATTCAAGTTGAATTGATGTAATCACCATATAATAATAAATTTTGTTCATTATTAAATTAAATTAATTTAAAAAATATTAAAACTTAAATCCAATCACACGCGAGCACCCAATTGAGAGGAACTCTGCATGAGATGTTAAAACTTAAAAGACATGAAACGTAGCGTGCACAGGGTTGTCAGTTAGGGTCACTACCCTTCTTATTTATTTATTTTATTACTATTATTATTATTATTTTATAACATATTTTTAAGGCATATTTATGATTTATTTTTATGATAATATTATAATTATAATATAGTGTGCAATTATATAATTAATATTTTTATTTAAAGATCTACTTATGATATTGTATTGTGTTTTAATGTTAATAGTAAGAAGATATCTATAGACAAGAGGGGCCATGGCCCCTAACCTTTTGAAATAATTTAAAATTGGTTCCTAACCTTTTGAAATAATTTAAAATTGGTTCACAAATTTTTTATGTTATGATTTAATATTTAATTTTTATTTTATTTGTACTTTATTATTTTAATTTTTATAAAAATAATTACCATTAGTATTTTCATAATATTTGTTCTTACATTCATAGCTAAATATTAACTTGACAATTAGTAACATTTTAAGATGATTTATTAAATATAAAAAATTTTCTTGTAATCTCTAATATTTTTTGTCTAAAAGACTTTTGAAACTTTTAACATTTCTCCTCCCTATAATCTATTCTCTTTGTATTTTTTTTTGAAAAATCCTAGATTGTTGTAATTTTTGTAAAGCATAGAATTAGCCTAAAATATTCAATTGAGTTCATAATAATTTATTCTTTTTTAAGGTCAAAAATTAAAACTTTTCCTTAAAATTATAAATTTTATTGAGGCAAACATATTTTTTTGTCATTTATTATACAAATTTTTTATATATTTTGAGGTTACTACTAGTTTTTATTTTACCTTTTTTTTTTACAAATATAATTAGAGAAACACTAATCACTAAAAATCTCAAAAGGATGGTATATTTTATATTTAATCATAATCAAGTTTAAATTCTTACATTTTCAACTTTAAAATAATGAATAAATATTTTAGGTGTAAATTTGATAAAGGTTCATAAATTTTGCCTCCCTTTGTATTAAATCCTAGCTTAGTCATTGCATGTTACATTATACTTATTTAATGCCATATCATAATTGTAAATTTACAATCTTATGTGGCAGTATGATTATAATATTGTTGTTATTTTTAATATTAATTAAGCTTTAAAATTATGGGCTAAAGTATGTTTAGCTCCTTACCTTACTAAGTTCAAAACTGTTAGCCTCTCTCGTTATGTTATTAAGTTTTTAGTCCTTCAACTTAACGGTTTGATGATTTTAACCCCTAAACTGATGAAATCCGTTCATTCTTCGTTAAAGTTTGAATAAAATATTTACCGGATCAATCCTCAAAAACTAAAATTGTAACTATTTAGTTTAAAAAGTTTAAAAATTAAAAAATTAGTAAACTAAAAAGAATTAATACATAACTTTCTCGTATATACTAAAATAATATTAGATATTTATAATCAAAATAAGTAATTAGCTCGGTTTGAAAAAAGAATTTCAATTGAAATTAAAGAAAATTTCTTAGTTGAGTTAAAACAAAAAGTCCAAAAAATTAGAAAAATACAGTCAAGAAATTTTTTTTATTTTCAGCCATATTTCTTTCTTTAAATTGAGTTCATTACTAGATTTAATTGTAAATATTTAATACTATTCTCATAAATGTAATAAAATCATCCAATAATTATTTTTAATTTACTAACCTTTTAACTTTTAAACTTTTAAAAAAATAATAAATTTAATTTATAAAATATATTATTTTATTTTTTATTAAAATATTTAAATTCTAATGATTCCTCATTGTTTGTTATCATGCTGATTTGGACGTCGACGCATGGAGTAAAGGTGCAAATAAAAATGTGAACTTTACAATTTTTTCTATTTAAGGATGTTAACTTTGTTAATTTCTAAATAAATATGTCAATTTTCAACTTTTTCTATTTAAAGATATCAATTTTCAATTTTTTCTATTTAAGGATGCTAACTTTCAACATTTTGGTTAAAAAATCCATTTGCCACATAAGCATCATTATCCAATTAATCTTTAAATAGAAAAAGTTTAAAATTGATATCCTTAAATAGAAAAAGTTGAAAGTTAACATCCTTAAATAAAAAAAATTGAAAGTTAACATCCTTATTTAAAAACTAACAAAGTTAACATCTTTAAGTAAAAAAAAAAATGTAAAGTTAATATCCTTATTTACACATTTTCTCTCGACGAACGCCCTTTCCTAACCAACCAGGACAGAGAAGCCGTTGAACAAGAGAACTGGCAAGACTGTTCGCAGCACTTCTCCTCCACTTCAGGTGAAGATTTCTTTGATCTCAAATTCCTGCCTCGAGGGGTCCGATAAATT